TGTAAAAGCCACCTGGCTGTCTAAGAAATTACACCCTAGACCTGCTTCAACACGTAGCTGGCTTTCGGTGGGTCATCGCTCATTTTTTTCTACTGCTTTCCAACGTCAACAGTATTTTTTTCTTTTTTTGTAAAGAGTTGCAATTTTAAAGTTTATTTTTGAGAGGGTGAGACTGGGGGAGGGGGAGAGAGCGAGGGAGAGAGAGAGAATCCCAAGCAGGCTCCGCATCGGCAGCACAGAGCCTGACGCGGGGGCTCGAACCCACCAATCCTGAGATCGTGACCTGAGCCGAAACCAAGAGTCAGACGCTCAACCAAATGACCTGCCCAGGTGCCCCTGGACAGTATTTTTCAAACACTTCCAACACCAGCTTCTCCCTGTAGCGTGCCTTATCCGTGGATTCCCAGACCATAGGATGGGCTTTCCCACAGTTTCCAGGCCCTCACTGGCCTACATGATCTTCTCTGTTTTCCCAGGAGGGAAACTCAGGAAATACAGCCTAAATGGGAAGAACAAGATGGACAAGATGGAGCCAGAACCTGGGGTACGTATCCCACCCACATCTCACCTGTGGCCTTTGGAAGGAAGACTCTTCACCACGGCCTCTCTGTGCCTGTGTGACCTGGGAACTAGCACGGGGCCGCGTGCTCAGAAGGGTCCTGTTCTTGGTTTCGTGCTCACCTGCTGCCATCTTGAAATTCTTAATTTCCTGTGTAAGTTTATTTTACTTATTTTGAGAAAGACAGAGAGACAGAGAGAGTGTTCCAAGCAGGCTCCACACTGTCAGCACGGAGGCCGACTCAGGGCTCGAACCTAAGAACCGTGAGATTAGGACCTGAGACGAAATCAAAAGTTGGACACTCAACCAACCGAGCTACCCAGGCGCCCCCTCAAATTCTTAAATTTTTGAACAAGGGCCCCATGTGTTCATTTTGCACGATGCACCACAAATCACGCAGCCAGTCCTGCTCTCTCCCACCCTGTAAGACTTACGATGAAGGTCACCTCTTCTGAGAACACCTATCACCTCCTCTCTGATGGGCCCCCATAACCTCCCGTGGCCCCTGGCTCATACTTCCATTTATTTATTCACACCACCAACATTTAACGGACCTCTGCCACAATACCATCAACACTGCCTTTCTTGAACACACACCAAATCCCGGGCACGGTGTTAGATTCTTCTCGTACGGGAGTTGTATGTAGAGCAACTCTGATAAGGTAGGGCACTGTTATTACCCCCGACGTACTGACAGGTTAAGGATGTGCCCACGGAGCAGAGTGTAGGGGGAAGCAGGACTCCTGAATCAAGGCAGAGCACAGGCTCAGAAACACTACTTTCTTCAACTGTCATACATTGTGCTCAGAACCAGGAACGCTGTGGTGGAGAAAGGGGACGTTCCTTGACGGCCACCCCACTCCCACACCTAAAGTGTAATTATTAGTTGCATTTTTTTAAGTTTATTTATTTATTTTGAGAGAGATAGAGAGAGAGGGAGGGAGGGAGAGAGGGAGGGAGAGAGAGAGAGAATCCCAAGCAGGCTCCACACTGTCAGCACAGAGCCTGACGCGGGCCTCGAACTCACAGACCGCGAGATCGTGACCTGAGCCGAAGTCGGCCGCTTAACCGACTGAGCCACCCAGGCGCCCCAGGCCAGTCCTTTAAAAAAAAAAATTTTTTTTTTAATGTCTATTTATATATGAGAGAGAGAAAGGCGGAGTGTGAGGAGAGGGTCGGGGAGAGAGGGAGACACAGAATCCAAAGCAGGCTCCAGGCTCTGAGCAGTCAGCACAGAGCCTGATGCGGAGCTCAAACTCGGGAACTGGGAACAGTGAGATCATGACCCGAGTGGAAGTTGGACGCTTAACCGACCAAACCACCCAGGTGCCCCTGGCCGGGCCTTTTCAAAAATGTCAATGTTGTATCAAAGAAAACCCGGGATATGTGCCAGACTAGAGGAGATAAGGAGCAAGGACAAGTAAATGTCACTGGCAACTCTGTACTGGTTTCTGTACCAGAAGAAAAAAAAAATGCTGTTAAAAACAGGGCATTTTTGATGCTGGGGGGTGGCGGGGGGGGGGAACCAGAACATTTTAGGAACAAATGGCAAATTTTGAGTAAGGGCTGTAGATTAATAGTAATGCGCCACTGTTAAATTTCCCGATTTTGACAACTGTACTGTGTTACGTAAGAGAAATGCCCCGCTAGGAATTAAACACGGAAGTACTTAGGAATAAAGGGAATGATGTCTGCGACTTAACTCTAATGACTTAAGAGCAAGAGTATTAAAAAGCAAATATGGCAAAATGTTAACAACTGATATACGCGCGGTGAGGAGGGTATTGGAGTCAACCACAGGATTTTGTAACTTTGTTTCTCGTTAGACATTGTTCCCAAAAAATGTTTTCAACTCAATCGGCACAAGTACTGCTATCATTAATCAGGAAGTGATATCAGAATGTAGGTAAATGACACGGCCCGTATAATCCAGGGATCAAGGACTTGATATTTTCGCTTCTAGCCGTGTCTCAAGTCTAAAAACGGTGTTGAAAAATACATTTTTAAAGATATCATGGGATACAAAAGAAAAGAGCTCTGCATGGACACACACACACACACACACACACACACACACTTGTTTCATTTTGCTTTTGAATTTACTAAACGAAGATCTTGGTGAAAAGCCTCACTCAAGAAAATAGTAAGTAACTAGACAGGAAGGTGAAGAAAGCTTTCTTTCTCTTCCTCTCTCTGAAATCTTCCAGTTGGGCCTTCACATTCTGCTCCCCGCCTCCCCACTAAAGCGTGTCGAGTAACTATACTCACCTCCATCACTTTCTGAGCTGACAGTTTCTTCAGTGCTTTGGGGGGAGGGGGGGGGCTTTCAGAACAAATGGCCAAGCAGGGGCTGGGTCAGTGTTCAGAACTCTGCTCGGTTTCCCCCATGGCTGCATTGGCATGACAACAGAAACCACGGGCCACAAAAGGAGACCGACCGACAAAGGAAGACAAGTGTTTAATGCTGGAGCCATCTGCCAATTCTCCTAAGGATCTTTTCAAGAAGTGAGTGAAGCTAAAGGAGGAGGCGAGAAGGGAATCTGCAGGGGAGGGCAGAAAAATCATTCACGGGAGACGCGATTGCAATATGAAAAGGACCAAAGAAGGTTTGGAGCTGGGACAGATGAATGAACGGAATCCACCTAAATAGACCCACAGCACCCTCTCCAATGGGGCTTTTGTCGGTTGCCTAGCATTTTAAATGTTATAGTCAGAATATGTTATTAAGGGAGGATTTAATATACACGGGCCACAAAAAACACCCTGCGGAGGGGTCTTCTGATTACCCACGTGGAAAGCCCAAGCCACCTGCCTTTGCAAAGACGACACTGGGTTTTCTTTCTTTAGGCAGCAAGATGTCCTAAATACAGTAGTTTAGCCATAATAAAGCATTTTCATGCCAACGCTGCACCCCCCACTTCTCCCAGAGACATTCTGCCAAATGTTAAGACCACCAACTCTGAAAATTATTTAAATGCACCAAAACAAAATACCTTCATGCCCTCGGGGGATTAAAAAAAAAAATGTGAGCCCAAAACATATTCCTCCGTCAATATTAACAGAAAGAAAATAAAACCCTGAAACCGTGTGTGAGCGCCTTGGGGAGACTGAGGCATCAAAAGCAGTTCACCCTCCCTGAGACACCTATCTACCTCCTGGTTTTCAGAATTCTTGACGTCCTGAAGGTTAAACATGGCTTTCATCCACCTCTGCTGCTCCTAAAACATTATCAGTCCCTGAACGGCCTGTCATCTTCAGGGACTTTAGGTAACAGCCTCTTATTTCTGAACACAGCCTTACAGGTTATCTCCTGTAGAATTTGTAGTTGAAACACAAGTTAACGCTGGCTGGATCGGTAGGTGGGTTCTCAATGGGGATATTCAGGAGTTTGTTTGTTTTTAATTCCACCAATTTAAAATGCATGTGCCTCCGGGCGCCTGGGTGGCTCAGTCGGTTAAGCATCTGACTTCAGCTGAGGTCATGATCTGGTGATCCACTGGCCCTGTGCTGACAGCCTGGAGCCTGTCAGATTCTGTGTCTCCCTCTCTCTCTGCCCCTCCCCTGCTCACGCTCTGTCTCTCTCTCAAAAATAAATAAACATTAATTTTTTTTTTTTTTTTTTTTTTTAATGCATGTGCTTTGCAAGGGATTCAGTGCTTAAGGGCTATCTGGTTGCTTCTTTGGTCAGACTCTCCACCTTAAGTTGTAGGATTTTTTTTTTAATTTTTTTAATGTTTATTCATTTTTGTGAGAGACAAACAGAGACCGAGTCAGGGAAGAGCAGAGAGAGAGGGAGATGCAGAATCCAAAGCAGGCTCCGGGCTGTGAGGCTGTCAGCACAGAGCCCAACGTGGGGCTTGAACCCACCAACCATGAGCTCATGACCTGGGCTGAGGTCGGGGGCTCAACCGACTGAGCCACCCAGGTGCCCCAAGCTGGAGGATTTATAAGATGCCCCTCAACAGAATCCTCAGAGATTCAGCTATAAACCTGGCGCCCACTTAAAAAAACTAATGTTGCAAAGTTGTGGCATTAGTTTCGTAATGTTGAAAGAGTATCTTTCAAAGCCTCACTCCCCAGAAATACGTAGGAGAGACTCCTAGCCTCCGCAACCTGCAACCTCAGCACGGACAAGAGGGGCCCCTCCCTCCCTCCCTCCTCAGCCAGCCGGGGGACAGAGTCAGCCAGAGGAGGCTGCCCAATGAATGGGGTTTAAATCCAGCCTGAGGCACAAGTCAGCCACAGGCCAGGCTGCAAGAGTGACCCGTGGCAGCCTACAGGGGGCAGCCTGAGTCCCTCCAGGCCCCGGGCACACGTTGGCCTCCCGGGTGCCAGCAGCCGAGTGACTGTCCCGCCACGCGGTGTCCACACACCCGCCGGCCCCTGGCCTTGACCTCTGCTCCCTGACTGTCCGCGGCCCTGGGGGAGCCGGGAGGCTGACCTCTGGCTGTGAGCCGGCTGAAGATCTGGCAGTTGACTTCTCTGTCGCGTACATAACATCGGATCTCCTCCACCGCCTCTCGGATGACAGTGACGGCCAGCACGAAGCCCTGCAGAGACAGGGGAGAGAGGGTGAGCCCCGCGGAAAGCGACTTCCCTCTCCTGGTGCTGGGGACAGACAAGGCCAGAGGCCACATGGGACAGCAGCAGGGCGGGTCCTGCCAACCGCCCCAAATGCACCTGCCCCGGCAAGCCCACTTCTCTGACTCCTTGCTCCACACATACCCTGGGGAAACACTGGCTGACGCACACAGACAGGGGCATCCCTACCCACCACCACAGCAGGGTTTCTAAGAGTCAAGAAGGTGGTCGGTCCACAGGCAGTGGCCGAGCGATGGTACCTGGTGACATCTGTACCTCATCCAGCCGACGTTACTGGAGGGGTGTCACGGCCCCACAACAACCCTGCTCTTACCACTGCGGACATGAGGGCTCTGAGGCACAGAAAGGTTGAGTAATCTTGCCAAGGACACAAAGCTCCTAAGTGACAGGCAGGACACTGGCTCCGGAGTCCTTGCCCTTAACAGCCACATCGTTCAGCGTCCAGAGAAACGTGGAAAGGAGATCAGCCAACAACACAGAGCACACCCGGCCCAGTTAAGAAGAGTGAGAGCCATCACTTTTGCACCGACCTCCCAAGTAGGGACATCAACTCTTCGCCACATACAATGTAACCCCGTGCATACAAGCACCAACCGCAATGACCACAGTCTGCAAAGAGTTTCCAATTTCCTTAACCAGTGGCTAGATTCCTACGCAAGGAAAAGACGGGAGGGAGAGGGAAGGGCCAAAGGGGACTCCAGTCTTCTCTGTAACGCTTTCAATCCTTCTAAAGAAAACACATTGAGGGACGAGCACTGGGTGTTGTATGGAAACCAATTTGATAATAAATTTCATATATTGAAAAAAAAAAAAGAAAACACATCGAAGTATTGATTGCATAAATAGCAGCTAATAAAAAGAACACTGAAACTGCCCGACCTTTCCCGGGTCAGGTACCTCAACTCATACAAAATTTGGCGGGGGCTGGGGTGTGAGTCAGCCGTAACAGGAAACCTATTTCCATCCAGATTCCTCCTCTTGTGTCAATAAAGGCAAGAGCATTCGTTCGTTTTTCTTACAAAATACCCTTGTCATCTCTCCTTTTCAAGCCTTTTTTTTTTTTTTTTTTTTAATACAGAAAGCACCATCGCCCTGAAGGTTAGCAGCCGTGATTCTTTGGGGATTTCATTTTTATATTGTTTATCCTGTGAAATAGATGAACTTCCATTCAAAGGACTTTAAATCTCTTATGTAAATCTAGCCAGAGATGCGCTGCTTTGTGGGACTTCTCCAAGGGCTCGTTTGTCTTTCCAATCTAAGGATTGCTCCTGTTTCCGATCCAGATGCAGCCAGAGCAAGACTGGGACATTCCAGAATGAGAGCTCCAGAGCCGGAGGTGAGAGGAAGCCTGTGGTGGCAGGGCACAGACCCAGTCTGCAGAACGGGCGCCCCTCCCACGCCGCCGGGTCGTTGTTCCGGGCCAGAACCCAGGTGTTTGCTGTTTGTTTTTGCAAATGTTCCCGTTCCTAGCCCTTGCTGCTGCGTGGGCCTAGCGAAATCCCCCTGATGTTAATGGCAAGTGTGCACTCATACAAAGACAGGAGCCGTGACCTCCCTGCTGCAAATAAACACCGCCTCCTAAGTTATCCCATCTACTCCCCCTGCCCCGCCCCCCCCCAACACACAGTTCCCATTAAACCCAAAGGACCTGCCATCCCTTAGGCTAGAAAATGCTTTTGCTCAGAGATGCAAATGTCGTCCAGAAATAAATTCCAACCATCCAACTTCAGAGGTCCTTAAGATCCACGGATATTTAGAAAGAGGCTTTAACAGGGAAGGCTGGGATTGTCTGAGCTCGGAAAGGGACTCAGAGGCAGTGACAGTGCCCAGACAGGCCATTCTGAAAGTGTTAAGCCTCCTTTTGTAAAGTCGCACATCAAAAACAGATTTCCTGAAGCAAAACCAATCTATGAGCTAGAAATCAGAAAAGCAGTGCCCTCTGGTTCAGGAGGGATTGACTGGAAAGGGGCACTCGGGTGTCAGCACTAGTGCTGACTAGGGTGGTGGAAATGCTTTGTATTTTGACCGAGGTGGTGTTTCCAGGTGTTGACAAATGTCAACATATTATCTGTGTATTTCATGGTACACAGATTATATCTCAGTAACGAAAAAATCTAGCTCTTCATACAAACAATTTTAGGGATCATTTCAGCTACCTATTGAGGAATTTCTCCCTCTAACATATCAGTACCAAGAAAAAGGTTATCAAAAGCTAAACCTTGGGGAGCCTGGGTGGCTCAGTCGGTTGAGCGTCCGACTTCGCTCAGGTCACGATCTCACGATCCATGAGTTCGAGCCCCGCATCAGGCTCTGTGCTGACAGCTCAGAGCCTGGAGCCTGCTTCAGATTCTGTGTCTCCCTCTCTCTCTGGCCCTCCCCCCGTTCATGCTCTGTCTCTGTCTCAAAAATAAATAAATGTTAAAAAAAAAAAATTAAAAAAAAAAAAAAAAAGCTAAACCTTAATCCAGACAAGGAACAATGACACCAGTGCCAGAAATTTAAAATTCAAATGAGAGTATTTCCTGAGAATTCCCTGTCCATTGGGAGCAAAAGGAGGCAATTTATTTGCAGGGCTTCCTTTTAATCCTCCCAATGAGCCAAGCAAGTAGACACGATCACGCCTGTTTTGCAGATGAGAAAACTGAGGTTCAAATTACACAACTTCCCAACGTGTAGCCAGGGACCACACCGCAGCCCTCACTCAGCCCTTATCCATAGCTGGCTCTGAAACGAGAGGCCTTTCAGGGTGGTCGGAGACACTTCAAAATGCGTTCTGGTCAAGAACCGGAAAGCGATTCTGCGCACAAAAATCTAGGGGACATCAGCTCTTGTCCCCTAGAAACATGCCATCCACTTCGTCTCTCTTTGACCCCCAAACCTTCTTCTCTGTAGCCCCTGGGAAGAGGCAGGACGGTAAGACCAACATCCTAAACCTTCACAGTGAAAATGGGGCTGTAAGAGAGACCCAGATGCGGAGTCGAAAATGTCAGGACCGCCAGCGGCAGCTGTGACCCTGCCTGCTTCCCACCTGCGGCCACCGTTCCAGGGAAAGCGGGCGGGGGGGGGGGGTGTCCAGGAGGAGGCGGAGGCCACTCTGACTGCATGCACGGCAGGTCAGGCTTCTGGGAACTCCTGGCATCATTTCAGCAAGGCGATGTGGGCAGGAGCTGGGGAATGGGGGTGGGGAGGGGCACCCCAGTGCTGGCTACTTGCTCCCGCCCACCTGGACTGGACCAGAGGGAAATTTTCACTGGGGCGATTTCTGTGTTTCTTGAATCATGTGAACATCTTACCTTTCAAATAACCACACTTTTAAAAGGCATCCCGGAAAAGGCAAGGTGATAAGTTACATTTTGTATACATTAGAGACTAACTTTTTTTACACAAGTAACTTAGGGTTTGACTCTAGATAGGTATGTAGTTAGCAGCTGTGGAACTGAAAACCTCCAATGACGTTGGGGTATTTCACATAAAACTCCAAACCTTCTAACTCTTGGGCCTGGCAACTCCAGGACCACGTTCGCACCTGCTGGAACGGAGCGGACCCTTCCGTTCTGCATGGGACGTGAGCTCCCCGGTTCTCCCGAGGCCTGCTTGTGTCAGCCGGGCCTCTGAGTCTGCAGTGTTCGTGGGTGAGAACGCAACGCGCTGACAGGAATGTTTGTTACGCGAGGCAAGGATGTGTGACAAAAGCCTTCTCCCGCTCCCAGAGTCCTAACTCACCCACAAATGACTCAGGTCGGGGGAGAACTGTTTGCACATCCCCAAAGCACCTTTGCTATTCGTGTGGAAAAACCCAACCCCCTCTCCCTTCTCTGGGCTGGAGCTGCCGGCCTAACCTGTCTGATGACACGGCACTCGCGGTTTATGGCCACCTGGCCACTCACGGGTCTCTTAGCAACTGGCTCCCTACACCGTCCGTGTCAGTGCACCAAATCCTTATCCTCTCCCACCTGCCACCATAAATAAATACATAAATAAAGCCCCACTTCATGTGAAATACACAGCTTCTACCTGGATAGAAAGAGATGTCACTTCCACCCTCTCCACACCCCGGTCACACTGGGCTTCCTTCTGTTCTTCAAATGCTCTGGGCAAATGCCTACCGCAGGGCCTTTGCACTGCTGCTCTCTGTACCTGGGATACTCCCGCCTTCCTATTCAGCCCATCCCCTCCTCGAGATGTTTTCCATGGCCACACTGGCCAAGGCTGCCCCTCTACATCCCCCACCCCCACCTCATCCATTCAACAAATATTAAATGGGCCTGGGATAGCCTATCTGGCCCGTGGCCTTATTCTTAGAACCTCTGCAGGACTTTTCACAGTTTGAAATGTTTACCATCTGTCTCCTCTGAAAACCAACTGGACAGGGGCAGGAATTTTTACGTTTCATTCACCGCTATGTCCCCAGCACATAGCAGAGGCCCCCTCCCCCCCACCCGGCACACAGTCGCGACTCGATAACCATTTGCCCAAAGGCGGCAAGGGAGGGAATGGAGGGGCCTTCTGGTCAGTTCTGTCTCACTTCAGACACAAAGCGCAAAACCTGGTACTTTTCAAACCCTCCTGCTGGCAGACTCTACAGGGACAGAAAACAGGATCTCAGAAAACAATTCAAATAGCACAACCCACAAAGATGGAAGCCTTGTCCTTCTGGCCTGACACTGCATCCCCAGAGTCTAGAAACAGGCGAGACAGGCCGCAAGCATGAAATGCACAGTTGCTGAAAAAACTGACTGACTGGCTGAAGGACAGAACGAATGAAGGGCCCGGCCTTCACCACTTCACCAGTCCGGCCCCAGCGGTATACAAAATGCAGCCCCACCATTAAAATCCTGGGGGGGCTTGGGGCCCCTGGGGGGCTCCGTCGGTGGAGCGTCCGACTTCGGCTCAGGTCATGATCTCGCGGTCTGGGAGTCTGAGCCCCGCGTGGGGCTCTGGGCTGACAGCTCGGGGTCTGGAACCTGTTTCGGATTCTGTGCCTCCCTCTCTCTCTGCCCCTCCCGCCCTATGCTGTGT